AATCACTTCATCCGTTCCGACCATGGTTTCCCTTCCTACGAGTTACGGTGCCTCCCCTGACCACATATTCCACGGTGAGTCTTTTAGTTTCTTTCCGGTTCTTTCTTAGCCCTCCCGCGGTCACTGAGCACTGCTTACATGGTTTTATACGTCCATTTCATGAATTATTATTTTTGATTATCGTCTTGTGACCGCCTTTTGCTTTCGATGCATTTTCTCTACTAGCGGCCAATGGAAATGTTATGATTCCGGAACCCCCGATGATGCGCGACCCAATGTCTGCTGTTCAAGCATTTAGTACCATGTCAATTTACAACACGGACGCGCAACTGCAAGCCCAACGGGAAGTTCGAACTCGCGAGTATCAGAATGCTGTCAATCGTGCATTGATGGAACGCAGGAAAACGAGCTATACGGAGACGAGTGAACCTAAACCAGTGGAAACTCCACCAGTTCCACTGGCAAAAACCATTGCGGATTCCCAGATGTTCCTGCAGTCACATATATCTTCGAGTAGCAGCCAGCCTCCTCAACAACCGAATATTGCTTCCGTTATTGCTGCATTGGCGGTATATGGAAACGGTTTTCAGAACCTCCTTCCAAACATGACGGCGGGAAAAAATGCTATGCCTTTTCAGACGAAACCCCCACCAACACAGCCTCCGGTTGTACCATCGATGTGGCCTACTGCGTCTTTTTCAACTCCCCAGTCGCAGTTTATGCAACAATTCCCATTCCCCGTTGGCGCTGCACCCAAAGTTCCAAATCAAGCAGCGTGTCTAAACACCGAACTTTTTCTTGAAAAACTATTGGAGGCATGCAAGACCCAGGTAAATATTTTTGGTTCATATCTTGCCAGCATTTGTTTTCGTTGGTCCCGAGATGTTTAATTATAATGCTTGGTAGGTTATTCATTTTTACACTTACTTCCTTCCGATTGCCTGTTAAAGCCCGCCTGCCTCAATATTTGATCGAATAGAACTGCATTTTACCTATCTTACTTTGTTGTTTACTCTTGTGATATTTTGACTTAAATGCGTAGTATTCTAATGTTTTTCAGGCCCCAACCGACGTTCCAGTTGAACAGAAGGCGGCAATTCCTATACCTAGGGATTTGACCGAAAAACAGTCCGAATATGCCGATTCCATGTTCAGGGTGTCTTCACATGGCCCATCTGAAAGCGAACTTTTAGACAATCAAATGGCAGAGTTTTCGCAACGCAAACCTACTGTTCACCCTCGGGAAAACTTCGAACCCCTTTCCAAACACACCGCTGAGAGTAATTCACCACTCTGTGATACCGATAAAATGAGCGGCGTAAAATCCCAACAATCTGTGGAGACTAGCAACCGTTTGGCCGATTCGCCACCTGCCTCTGAATCTAACGCTCAACCTCAAACACAACATATAACACCCTTAATGGAGGTCGATCTTCCTAACAAGTGGACAGACAAGGATTTCGATGCCTTCGAAGCCCCTCCTCCAGCTTTCCAACAGGGGCTAGGCATGAAATCATCCAAAAGCACTAGGGGTGGACGTTCTGCACAAACCCGAGGTCCTCCTAGTCAGGCAACGTGTACGTTTGAATGTATCTTTATGTCGGAAAGCTTTACATAATGTTATGAGTTACATATTGATGTTGTGACTTACCATATTAACAGCTCACTTACTGGCCAAAAAGCCCAGGCACGCGTTTCGCCGGTATTCTATCGCTGCTTGACACAGCTGCAAGGGTCCGGCTCATCAGTGGGTGCCCCAGCTTTCCCTATTTGCTTTCTAGAAAGAGTTTTCTTTCGTTACTTCAAGTAACCCGAAACAGAATTTTACAGTATATAAGCGTTTTCTCCGTACTATAATATCAGATTATATTGAGGCACCTTTTTCCTTATACATTCGTTTTGCTTTTACAGCGTCTGTTGATGCGTCTGAAAAGATTGCAGCCTATCGAAATTCCGAAAGGAAACCAAAGCAAAGCCGTTTCGCCGAAATCCGATCCAAGGAAGTCAAAAAAGGTCGAAATTATCCCCTGAAGGGACGGCACGTGGCCCAACAAGGTCTCACCGCATCCACTTGGAATAATATTACCGATGATTACGAGCAATACGACGATGAAAATGGCGATGCGGTAACTACCGAAGAACCCTATGGTTCAGCTTATCAACCGAAACGTTCTGATTCCTCCCGTCAAGGTCAGTTTACACACAGTGCCAATACTGATGGCGCTTCAGGCACGTTCCCTCGAACTCAGCGAGGACACCGCGGTACCACTGGACGGTTCACACGGTCCGGTTATGAGGATTACTACAACAAGGGCTATCCGATGCACCAGGAGTCCTCTTACACCGACACTGGAGGCCAGTGCGACAGCGACGTGGCGCAGAGGCACCCTCAGCTTGCTTCTTTCTCTCGTGGAAAGCATCGAGGCCATTCTGGATTTCAAGCAAGCAGAAAAGGTATTGCTTGTTTTTTTTAAGGAAAAGTTGACAAAAATTCTTTGTCTGCCCACTTAATGTAGTCATGTAGGTAGGCGAGATACACTATGAGCCAATAACGTTTTGATATAAATATCCAACCGTTTTTCTTCATTTCTATTAGATAACAAAGGTGTATGCGTCTGTGTGTTTGTTTCAAGGTCCATTCACGTTTGTTTCACAGAGGGCAACTGATTTATGCTCATGATGACTCTACTGCCGCAAACGAAGTTCACAATTATAACGGAGACTTCACGTTGATTTAATAATGGATTTCAGCGTAATTGATTTGTTTGTAGCTAAGCAAACTTGTGCAAAAAAGTAGAGATGATTGCGTGTGAGCGTGGGAATGCGGCGGCTGATTCATGCTAACGTAGTTGCTGTTCCGGCCAACAAATATTGTTTTTTCGTTTTCGAAGTTTACAGAATGAATCGTAAATGTTAATGAAATGTCACTGGTGCATAGTATACGTGAAGTTTTCGGTCCCACCCGGTCTGTGGGTAGAGCCTTAATTCGCAAATTGACGGGGGAGCCTGATTTGGTAGTGGATAGTATTCGCAAAGTACAGTAGTCGCCGGTTATTAAGCCCACCTAGGGCCCAGACCAAATTGGG